ACATCTTTTTTCAGAGCATTAATTAAAATATTCACAATGCAGATTATCAATTAACTCCATACTGTCTTCCCCTTCACCTGCATTAATAAGTATTCATCAATTAATTTTCTACTCTTCCTCCTTTCCCTCTGTGGTAACTATCTTAATATGACTCTGTGTGTAAACCTTAGTTTGGCTTTCTAAAATAGTAGCCTTTTACATCCATAAAATTTTATTCAATTATATGTTCATTCCCTCACTTTCTCTTGATACTCCAGGACCAATGATATAATGAAGTATTTTACCTTCAATACTAAATTCCTTAAGCAAAGATGCACACCTTCATAATTTGCAAACTTATTATATTCTCATAAAAATTCCAATTAATATAAACAGTACTAATTGTATGAAAAACAATATATACATACATATATATATCCACCGCTTTTCATAACATGAAGAAAAAAAGGATTATAAAATAAATAACATTTTTTATCCTAACTACTCAAAGCATTACACTCTCTAGTTCAAATTATTTTACTAATAGTAATAATTTTAACTGAAAATATCAAAAATTTTTAGCCTCCACTACTTAGTAAAATTTAACAGTAAAATAAAAAAGAATTTTTAAGTTCTATCAACAATGTAATTTTTACATGTTAGACTAATTTGACCTATAAAATAAAATCATTAACACTAATTTAAATGTATACAAGTAGGGTTTTTTTATGTGCCATCAAGTTACCTGCATCTCATAGTGACCCTATGTACAACAGCCCTAAGCCCTGCTCTATCCTGTGCCAATCTTAATGTCTCTGATACACCTACCTCCATTACCCCAGTCACTGAATCAATTCATCTCATGGAGAGTCTTCCTCTCTTGCACTGTCCCTCCACCATCCCAAGCAAGATGTACCTCTCCAAGGACTAGTCCCTCCTTGCAACATGTCCAAAGTACGTCAGACGAAGCTTCAGAATCCTTGCCTCCAAGGAGCAGCCTGACTTTACCCTCTCCAGAACGAACTCATTTGTTCTCTTAGCAGTCCACGGTATAGTCAATATTCTTAAGTAAGTTATTGGTTTAAAATTTTTCAACCTTTGAAAATATAAAGGCAATCTTCAACACCATAATTTAATATGCTACCTTAATTCCTCTAGCTCCAACACCCCCCCAAAAAAAGCAAAATGTTCTTACATACATTTAAACTCAAAAACCCAACAGAATGAAGAGAATAAGAGACTAGACATTAAGAACAAAAAATTTGGAAGCTGTAGAGCAATGGACAGTGGATGACAGGTGACAGATAAGAACTCTGAGAACACTGAACCTCAAAACTAGCAGCCAAAACATTTGCTAAATTAACAAACACCAGGTGGTTATAAGAAGAAATTAAATTATCCCATTTTTTTTCTCTGTGAAATTTACACTAGAGTACAAAGTTAAATATTTAAAATTAAATCTGCAAATTTCAGAACCTGAGCCTCAAGTGGAAAGATTCTCTTTAACTTACACTGATAATAGACTGGAGTAACAGCAGCTAGAGCAAGGCAGCTCCTGCAGGAAACTAACATTCACTAACCAGAGCTGTTTACAGTTTCATTTGGCAGAGGAAAAATTACATTGTAAATGCCAACATATTATCATTCACTACAGTAAGTCAAAAGCATTACCTTACATTATATGAACATGACAGCCCATCTGACACACATTATGGGTAATTAAGATAAAAAGTCTCTCATTAAGCAAACATTTTTTTAAAAATCTACTATTTACCATAGAATAAAATATTCTAAATAATTCTACTACCTCCCTTTCCAACCCTTTAAAAACCTTTAAAAACTCAGCAATCTTTCTAAAAATGACATAAAGCCCTGTTTGCTTAAAAAGCAACATCCAAATAGGGTGTAGGATATATTCTACCCATCACTTTACCATGTTACTTTCTCATGAATTTAGTTTCTCGTTTCATCTATCTGCTCATCCATCATCCGTCCGTCCGTCCGTCCGTCCGTCCATCCATCCATCCATCATCTAAAAAGAGATTCAATACGCCGTCCCATTTTCCTTATGAATCAGGGTGAAGTCTCTCTCAGGAAGGAGTGATAGGGAATGGCAAAGGACACATTGACAAAGGAGATTAATCAGAACTGGCTTTGACAAGCACTGTGGAAATGGAACAATTAAAACAGACTTTCAAGGGGGAAAAAAAAGAGGAACAAACTGGGGGGGAGGGTAGAGAAAATAGTGCAACAATGAATGAATGGAAACCCAAAATCTCTGTAAATGTTCATTAAAATTAATAAAATTTAATCAAAAAAGAAATAAAGACCAAAATTTAAAAAAAAAGAAAAGTAAAAGAAAAAAAGAATGTAAAGAGCAGATTAGGCACAAGGAAGTAAACACAGAGGAGAGCATAGACATCATGTGAAGATAACTAAGGAATGGAGGAGCAAACACTAAAAAGAGAGATGTATTTCCTGTCACAACAAGGAAAGAGTGTCCCATCCAGTCAGTACCTTGAATTCAGAGTTCTAGTCTCTTAAAGTGTGAGAAAATACTTTGTCAATTAAAAGCATCCATTTGTGGTATTCCTATTACAGAGGCACTGAAAAAATAACAGAGGATTTTAATTTTTTATCTTTACTTTTCTGGTTAGCATAAGTGTACCAGAAGGTCCTTGGAGCATGAGAGAATAAATCAATAAATACTTTTATCATAAAACAGTAAAAAAAAAAGAGAGATTCAGAACTCTCTGTATTTTCTTTATACTTGAAACTGCTCTGAAAAAGTGTTCTTTTCAAAAAAGAAAAGTGTGTCAGATTAAATAATTTTCATCTGACAGCTCAAAAGCCTTTAGAGCACACCACAGGTTTATCTGTGTAATGGAACGATGTGGTTATTATAAAGAATGGCATGGAAGTCTCGTTACACTGTCATTCAGTCAGTAATCCTGAATATTGCATCAACCTCCTTTCTTGCTTACTCTGCCCCTAGTTATTCTCCAGTCTAAATCATTTTCAACAATTCTTCAATATTACCTTGTTGAAACAGAAATCTGACCATGACATTCTCATGTTTAAATATTCATCTGAAGTGTAAAGTCAAAATTCCATAGTAAGACATTCAAAGTCTTTCATATTTCTGACCTACTCATCTTGACAGCTTCATCTCCTAATATTGTTCTTCCTACTAGGAGGAAAAAAAAAGTCTAAGGTCATTGAGTTGATTCCAACTTATAGTAGTAAATCCATTAATTATAAGAGTAGAACTGACCCATAGGGGTTTTTTTGGGTGTAATCTTTATAGAAAATCACCATTCCTTTCTTTGGAAGTACTGCTACTACTACTAAAAATAATCAACCTTTTTTTTTTTTTTTAAGTTGGGCAGAAATGATATGTGCCAGATAGGGGCTTATACTTCCTAAATCACAGACTACATTATCCATAATTCTTTCAACACACATTTTCTTTTAAAAATCATACTCCTAGGGAGCTCTGGTAGCCTAGTGGCAAGAAACTACACTGCAATCCCAAAGGCACACAGTTCAATCCAGATGCTTTGCTGGGGAAGGGCAATCTCCTCAAGGTTGGGGGTGGGGGGGACCAAACAAACCATACTCCTGTACCTGTGTACATGCTGTTCCCTTCAACCATCTCTTCATCCTTTAAAATCTAGTACAAATTTCATCTCATCTGATAAATCCTCCCTCACATTCCCAGACAGACTGAATTAGTCCCTTTTCTGTGCTCTCATATCACTGTTATGGTTCCATTATAGTGTTGTATCATAAACTGATCTAGGATTGTAATTCTTTTATTTCATATTTTCTTCTTAGCCAATGTGAACAGTGATCTTACTCATCATTTCCACTACTCACAGATAAAGTCTATCAGCATGTAGTAGACACTGGAGAAATGTCAGATGATGGAATAAATGAGTTTACTTATCCCATATAACAGAGTTCCAAGTAAGGCCATAAGAAGCATGCCTCCTACCAACTCCAAAGTAAGATGCCTTTTTGACTCCTTGTGGCAGTAATACAGAAGGAGTAAGTTAACTATCCCCTAGCTAGAAAGCAGAAGATTCAAACTTTAAATATGCTCAGAGAGGACTAACACAGAGGCTTGGTACTACATAAAGCATGATCTCTGGAGCCAGTAAATGTAGGTTCAAATTCAGGCCATTTGCTGAGTGTCCTTGGTTAAATCTCTTAATCTTGTGACCATTTCCCTATCCATAAAACAAGGATAACAACAAGAATGTCACAGAATAAAGTAAGGCCTTTAGGGTCAGTAAATTCTTTAACCATTTGATGACACTTTCATAACCTGTTAAAGAAGATAAAACTTAGAGAGTTGTAAGGTTTAAATCAGATTAGGCATGTGAAAGTATTGTTTAAACAAAAGCTACAGACAGATGTATATGTTTTTATAATCATAACTGTGATAAATGTGATGCTTATAGCTAGGTGGAAGATATAGAGGAATGATGCCAATGTAATAAAATCCTTCTGGCAGCCACAGCTATGATTCTACCTTGTTCCAAAAAGAGTAGTAAGGAGAAGTATATACATTCATTCATAATACATTTACTGAGTGCCTACTGTGTGCAAACACTGGCAATAACAGTTCAAGTCAATTATCTTACGTAAAAGCCTACAATACATAGCATGTGTTTTCCTAAGAATGAAAAGGGAGGAAAGTAGGTACTTTTCACCAAAGCTGAAAAGTAGAACTATCATCTAGGTAATGTTGTTGTTGTTGTTGTTGTTATTGTTGTTATGTACCGTCGAGTCGCCTGCGACTCATAGCGACCCTATGTACAACAGCCCTAAGCTCCGCTGATTGATTCTGAATTCATCTAGGTAATACTCACAAAAAAATGTCAGTCATTCCAATCTAGTTACACAGAACTTCGACATTTTAATAACATGCAGATTTGGTCTCTCAAAATATATACATTTAACCAGAACACAAGTTCCGTAAGTTTGGTGTTTTTTTTCAAATAAAAAATACTCACCCAAGGCTGGGTATCCAAGATAAAATCGATCTGCTCCCAACCATCCAAGAAAAAGAGACAGGGCAACTGCCACCTTATATGAGTAGCCATTTCTGCACAAAATTAAGACCTGAGGGTCAGTATCAAATAATCCCAACATATGAACATTTCAGCAAACAGAACTATTAATTATTATTTATTTGCTTGTTCATCATTCTTCATTCGATTAATGTTCTTTATGTCTAGTGTATACTAGGCACTGTTGTAAGATCTTAGTCTATATTAATGAACAAAACAAAGATCCCTCTATGCAGCTTACAATCTAGACAATACAGCAATAACCATATGTGTATTTTAAAGTGTAAATCATCCAATGTTAGAGTACAGAGGAGATTCAAAATCTCAAGCATATATATATAAGGGACAGATTGTACTTTATTTTTTCCTTTATTTTATTAATTCTTTTAATTTTATATTGGTTTGCATACAAAATTCATACACATTGTGTTTAATTTATATATACTGTATTTCACACATTCCTTTATTTAAATTTTGCTTCATAGAATCATTCCCATACATTGTGTTTTACAAAATTAATCACCACTGATCCATTCCCACAATTACCCCAACTTTTCAGGTCCCCACTGGGTCTTTTCTAATTCCTTCTACTCCTCACTCTGCCCACATCACTCTTCAGATTATACTTTTAAATGGAATAAGGGTAAGTCTCAATGAGAAAGTGATATTTGAGCAAAGAACTGAGAAGGTGCCTAAATTCATGCCTAACCACTGAAGGAAATGTCCCAATCAAATAAATGGTCCAAAGGCAGTATAACTCTCATACTGGAGTACAGTCAGAAGGTGCAGGAGGAAAGAACACTAACAGGAGATGAGCTTGAGAGGTACTGGAGAGAAACAAGGGATACCTATATCCACACTGTAACTATGACTTCTTTGCTAAGAGAAATGTAAAGCTGTTACATGATTTTAAGTAAAGGTGTGACATAACCTGGTTTAGATTTTAAGAGAATCACTGATGTTGTATTGAAAGCAAGATTACAGAGGAGCATTTGTCAGCTACTCATAATAATGTGGGACAAACCTCAAAATTTAGAGGCTAAAGATAGTAAGCATTTATTCTCACAGCGGCAGATTACACAATAACTAATGTTGGCTGGGTGTGGCTAAGAGAATCTGCTTTTAGTTGAGGTTTTGCTAAGCTAAGATCCAAATTATGGACTCAGTTCAAGTAAGTGCCAATTTAAGTGTTTCTTTCTAGGGCCAGACTAAAGCAACAGCAACTATTTGGACAAGCACTTTTCACGTTTCAGAAGCAAAGAACAAAAGAAAAACTAAAGCCACTAATACATTTTAAGGCTTTGTCTGTGCTTTTGTCACACCTTCTAAAAAGGCCAAATCAAGGCCTATGTTCAAGTCCAAAAGCAATGGAATGGGAAAGTACACACTGTGTAGCCAGTGGGGAATGAGAGGGATAAATATTTGCTGAACAAATTCAAATTTTCAAGGGGACAAAAGCTAGAAGATCATTACAATTAGTCAGGTGACAAACAGTGGGTTGGCCCACAGTGAGGGATAGAGAAGGACATAGTGAAAAGTAATCAGATTCTGAATAGAATGTGAAGTATAGTCAACTGGCCACATTGATATATTATCCATAAAGTATGAAACAGAAGGAATAAAACTCTACATTTTATGCAGAAGTAACCAGAAGGATAAGCTGTGGAAGAGTCAACAAAGGTTATATCCTGGAAGGAAGAGTGGGATTTCAGACTTAGACGCTTTGCTTAGTTGTGTGTTAGCACAAAGTAGCAATGTTGCCATAGTGAAAATAAAAAGCAAACTAAGAAGCCCTTTAAATTGAGAACATTCTTTACAAGGTAGTACCATCTGTCCTACCATTCCAAACTGATAATTTCTACATGCTGTCTAATATTACCATTTATCATCTGCATCTAATACAAAGAAGGAAACCACATTTTCAAAATGCCTTTAATGTACAAATGGTGAACAATAATTATTAGTGCTCTTTTAACATAAAAGTGCAAAATTCTTTACTTGCACTTTAGAAATCCTTAAAATTTTAATCAGAAGTTTTCATAATTCACTTGGTAGCATAAACTGATCTGAACTGGCAGAGAATGAAGCCACTTAGTTATACTCTATCTCAGCTCAACTCTTCAAAGAATCATAGTTATTAACAACAAAAATATATTTGCTAAAAAAAAAAACAAACACTTTTTGCAACAATAGCAAAGTTCAACAAAGCAGCAAACAACAAACGTTGATGAGGTTGTGGAGAGATTGCAACTCTTATTCACTGCTGGTGCGAATGTAAAATAGTACAGCCACTATGAAATGCTGAATGATGCTTTCTCAAACAGTCGGAAATAGAAATACCATTTGACTCAGAAGTTTCACTACTGGAAATATACCCTAAAGAAACCATGGCTCAAATTGATATATGCACACCAATGTTTATTGCTGCATTATTCACAATACCAAAGAGATGAAAGCAAACAAAGGGCCCATTAACAAACAAATGGACAGAAAAACTATGGTACAATCACACAATGGCCTATTACACAGCACTGAAAAACAATAAACTCATAAAATACTACACAATATGGTGGATCCTGGAGGACATTATGTTGAATGAAAGATCTCAGTCACAAAAGGACAAATACTGTGTAATACTGCTGTTATGTAACAGGACAGACATGGGGGGTGTTGGGGAGAGAATGGGAAAAGAGTGGAGAGATAATGAACATTGTAACAGAACAGATAAGGGGAAGAACTGTCCAGAAGGAATATATGATTAGGTATTATCTGTATGACCAGCAATCTGGAACAAGGGATACATTGCTAGCTTGGCTGAGGGAGGGGAGGAAGACGTTCAACAATGAAAAATAATTATTAAAAAATTTAAAATAAAAAAATTTTCTACCAAAACAAAAAGACAAGTTGTATTAATGTAGAATATTCCCCACAAGTTAATTATTTATCTCTTCACTTCATCTTTATCATATAGGCAAGTAACTTGAAAGTTTAAACTTTAGTAATATACTTACACATTTCGGCAAGATATAGGCTTATAAAAACCAACTTCATTTCCAGTAAAATGTGTTTCATTGCCACTGAAATCTTTACAAGTTATGTTGGGTGCTGGAAAACACAGAACTGGAGGGGAGAAAAAAAAAATCAAGAAACATAACTTTTATTTTTTTCCTAAAAAATAAGCAAACTTGCACAATACATAATGAAATTACCTGCCCGTATAGCATCTGACATGAGGCTCTAATTAATTAGGAAAAAACTACAAATTCATATACAAGATTATTGTTGTTGTTGTTGTTGACTGCCTTCAAATCGAGCATGACTTCTATCAACCCTATAAACAAAAGGCCTGAAGCCCCTCTACAACTATCAACATTTATCAAAGTTCATAGAGTTTCTGCAGGCTTGTTGCTTAGGAGGTGAATGCCACTCCTGCATATACAAGATAGAAGCAATATTATATACAGAACTCATAACATTCAGTATATAAATTGCCACACTAGGTTAGACACGTAGCTTTATCTACTATTTCTGGTAAAAGTGACAATGGAAAACACTGTAAAATATTACTGCTCTTTATTAATCTCAGGGGTGTTTGGATGGTACAAAAAAAGCACTTAGCTTGAAACCAAAGGTGGAGAGTTCAAGTCCAATCAGAGGTACCCAAGAAGGTAGGCCTGTTGATCCAAGTGTAATCACTGAGAACCACACGGAGCATAGTTCTACTCTGACTTATAAACACAAATATCATGATTGAGAATCAATTCAACTGCAATTATTTTTCTAGTTTATCTCAAGGATAAAGAATATTTGCTAAGTTTGTGTTGGGAAATCATTGGGTGATTTTTCCACTACTTTAACACTATCTGAATTTGTATTTCCAGTTTATATCTAATGGATACCATAAATCAAGGCTCGTTTTATTTATTCAAAATATATTTGTTTCTTCATTTTCCCTAAGGTTTGGTTGTTTGTTGTTGTTATGTGTCGTCGAGTCGTTTGCGACTCATAGTGACCCTATGCACAACAGCCCTAAACCCTGCTCTGTCCTGCGCCAACCACACTGCCTCTGACACACCAATCCCGATTACCCCAGTCAGCGAATCAATCCATCTCATAGAGGGTCTTCCCCTCCTGCGCTGTCCCTCCACCCTCCCAAGCATGATGTCCCTCTCCAAGGACCCGTCCCTCCTGGCAACATGTCCAAAGCATGTCAGACGAAGCCCCAGAATCCTTGCCTCCAAGAAGTAGCTTGGTTTAATCCTCTCCAAGATGAATCTGTTTGTTTTCCTGGCAGTCCATGGTACATTCAGTACTCTTCTCCAGCACCACAAGGTTTGGTAGGGTATATTATTTCAGCGGTTCACAATTCTGATCTTTATTCATATTCCAGATGACAGAGTTAAAGGAAGTGTATGACGGTTTAAAATCAGAGGCACTTGATGTGTGTTAAAATTGAGCAATCTGAAAGAGCCCTGGTGACAGAGCAGGCTAAGTGTAGGACTGCTAACTGAAGGTCAGCAGTTCAAATGCATCAGCTCTGTAAGGGAAAATCTTGCAAAGATTTAGTCTCAGAAGCCCAACACATAACTGACTAAATTGCAGTGGCTTTATCTCCATTTTAAAGTTTTAACATGGAATTACTGCTGGTTTTTAAAAAGTTGCCCTTTCCTGACAATAATTCTAGTCCTGATATTGTCATAACCATATAATCTAAAAACATTTCTTTCCTCTTAAGGTATGGCAGATACAGAATATCATAATCTGTTCTCAAAAAGTCCTTTTTACTATCGTCAAACAAATGCAAGTTGTGATACATGTGTACAAAAGGTCTTGATGCATGGCATCAATAAATCTTTACTATGAACCTCTAGAAACAGACATGATTAAGGAAACAATATTACTAATAGGTTACCAGAAAAACTTCTTTTGGTGCTGTCCTAGGACTGACTGTAATAAAATGAATGGTATGTACCTTGGACCAAAGATATAAGCCCCATTTAAGTATTATTTACTTATCCTTGCCAAATTCTCAATTCAAGATAGTCCATCTTTAACTACCGTGATGGTCTTTCAGACAATTTCATATTTTGTAACCTTTAGTTATGGCTCCAATGATACAAGAACATATCCTTGATTGCCCAGCAGAGTGGCCAGTCATTCGGTGACTGTTTCCCAGTCCTGATAGTGTCTAACCTCTATTGCATTTATTTATGCAGATTGCATGATCCTGATCTACAACAGAAGTTAAATTTATAGATCTTACTATGTGCCAGACATACACTCTTCTGAAGAATTTATAGCCTCATAATGTAAAGAGTCAGAAGTTTGGAATGAGAAATGCCCTTTTCAGAACCTTGGCCTCCTTCTGAGTAAAACTGACACTAAAGTAACCTATCGCAGGACCACAGTGGGAATTAAAGAAGATAAGAATCTTAAAACTAGACCAATATGCAACAGCCAGACAAATAGAGAAAGGACTAAAGGTGTCAAGGAGTTTACTTGGAGCCACAATTAACACCCACAGAAACAGCTGTCAAGATTTCAAGAGTATTATTGCATTGAATCTTGTCAAGAATCTCTACAAGGCTAAAAAACAGGGATGCCAGTTTAAAGGGTAAGATATGCCTGATTCAAATCATGGTATTTTTCAACAGCTTCATATACTTGTGAAAGCTGAACAATAAATAAGGAAGATCAAAAAATAATTGATGCCCTTGAACAGGTCTGTTGGCAAAGAATACTTAATATACCATGGATTTCCAGAAGAACAGACCAATCAGTCCTGGAAGAAATGCAGCCAGAAGACAAGCAAAGTGAGATTAATTTCACATATTTTGGCTATGTTATCAGGAGCGTCAGAGGAACACTCTCAAGAAGATGGACTGACGCAGGGACTCTAACAGTGGGCACAGCAAATATTGTGAAGACGGAACAGGAGAGAACAAAGTTCTGATCTGTTTCACATACAATCACTACAAATTATAGAGCTGACTTGACGACACCTAACAACAACAATTAAGTATCTACAACAGTGCATAGCGTATGTCACTGTTAGGAGCCATCAAGTCAACTTCGACTCAGTGACCCTATCTATGAAAATCAAACAGATCTGAACCTTGCCCTATCCTGCACCGTCCTCCCCATCTGACATGTTTGAGCCCATTGTTACAGGCACTGTGTCAAGCCATCTTGTTGAGTGTTTTCCTCTCTTTCAACTCTCCACCTTTCACAGCGTAAGGCATCAGATAGATGCTAGAGCCCATGAGGGTTAATGGTATGTGTCAATGTTAATGTTTGGCCAGGCTAATATTCAGTAGTTTGGCAGATACCATGTGATGACCTCCTATTTTGTGATCAATTAGTTAAAAAAGCAATATTCTTGGGAGTGTGGCCAGCCTTCAGTATATAAATATTTGGGAAAGTTCACCCTTTCTTGACCCTATACCATTCTCATCACTTTATCTCTGGTTTTTGGGACATGAGTCTGGAAAGAAGTCTCTGTTATGTCATCACAGTTGTTTTCCAGTCAATCTAGATTTGGGATTTATTGAACAACCTCTTGAACCAGCAGAGATTTCCAGCATACAGCTTAATCTGTAGGTTTTAGCTCATAGCCCCTTAGAGCCACGTGAACCACCGGAAGTCTTCAACCTATTGCCTGACCCTTGGATCTGGAACTTAATCAGCCCTGACACCTGAATGAATCATTCCTCATAACGGCATGACACATTATTATCTCATAGTGGCCTAATGAATAGAGTTGTGTTGCCAACCCAAACACACGCAGTTCTAATGCACCAGCCACTCCATGGAAGATGTGCAATCTCCTTCCGTGTGATTTACAGCCTCTGAAAAGGGGCTGGAGGATCAGCTATGAATCGGTTCCACCTCAATGGCACAAAACAATAACAACAACATATCTATACACTTCAGAGAAACTAAGACCAAAACAGTGTCAGCTCTTCCTTTAACATTTCAGACTGCAAGGCTTTCATGTTTTTAGGTGAATTTCAGTAAATGCTTTTCTGTTCATTTAACTTATCAGTTTTTGTTCTGAGAAAATTCAAAACTTTACATAATAAGCTAAGAAAAAACAAAATTTAAAATTTTATGTGAGTGGAAGTTGGCATTTTCTAACTAAGACTTCACCGTTGTTTTTTTTTTAATTATATTAATTTTAATGAACATTTACAGAGATTTTGGATTTCCATTCATTCATTGTTGCACTTTTCTCCCCACCCTCACCCCACCCAGTTCACTCTTCTCTTTGAAAAGTAAAAGAAAAATTCCTTCATTGGTACTTTTTAAGGCAAGAAAAATAAATTGAGAAGAGCTCTGTGAGTTGAGCTGTTAACCAAAAGGCTGGTGGTTAGACCTGACCAGTCACTCTCCAACAGAAAGATAAAGGAATCGGGTTCTATGAAGACATGCAGCCTTAGAAATCCAATGGAGGGGGAAAAAAACCAAAACAAAACAAAACAAAAACCCCAATGTTTTACTCTGTTCAACAGGTTTGTTATGGGTCATAATTGATTCATAACAGTAAAAAGCAAAATGATGCCATGAGAGGATTCGATGATTTTAGTACCCTATTGTTGAGTTTACTGAGAGTTCAAATGACACTTTCCTATACAATTTATCTACTCATTTGTATTTGATTATCTACTCAATGTATTCTCTAAGAAAGAATTTACAAGAAAAGCACAGATTCAATAAAACCAAGATATTTAAATGAGTAAAAATATAAAATGAAGGGGAAAGGGAGTGTGAAGAAATACTTTTTATATTAAAAACTGAGATAAAAGAAAACTTTGTAATTGAAGAGCAAATTCAAACCAAAGCTACCTGTTCGATAATGCAAACGGTTTTACACATCTATTGTGAAAATGTACAACTCACTTCTAAACAACTGTAGAAGCTTGGTTTGTTTCATAATAGGAGTATAACATAAAAGAGAATGCCTTTCAACAAGAATTTTGTTTATAGCCAATATACAACAAGGGATTGTTTAGACACTGCCATTAACTAATTTTATTAATCAGTGGCATTTAAGTTTACAAAACAAAATGTCTATGAATGATTTCTTGAAAGCAAATGACTTGTAAATCTTGACTCAATTA